CATGCGCGAATTGTTCCTCCTATGTGTTTTGCAACGAGTGGTTGTGTCTGTATGTTTAGTTCTATGCGCTTCTTGAATTTGCAGATGACCATCGTAAATCGTATTGGAATGGCTGCATCCAGGCTGCGATAGTGATTTGTCAGCAGATTTCTCAACTTTGGGCGCTAGTAATTTTCCTTTCAAAAATGCTTTTAAAAAGTGCTTCAAAATCGTCTTTTTCTGCTTTGGCGTCGAGATCCGGCTTTGGAGCTGCAATTTCCGACATCGTTGCGCGTAGTTCTATTGTGTTTTGCAATTCAGTCTCTGCAGATCGCATTGTGGTGGCTGCGTCAAGGTTGCTGGGTGCCGCGGCTGCATGCGTAATACTTTTGTCTTTTGCAGCTGAACATCGTAAATCGTATTGGAATGGCTGCATCCAGGCTGCGATAGTGATTTGTCAGCAGATTTTCCCAACTTTGGCGCTAATAATTTTCCTTTTAAAAATGCTTTTAAAAAGTGCTTCAAAATCGTTTTTTTTTGCTTTGGCGTCCAGATCCGGTTTTGGAGCTGCAATTTCCGACACCGTTGCGCGTAGTTCTATTGTGTTTTGCAACTCAGTTTCAGCATCAGATCGCATTGTAGTGGCTGCGTCAAGGTTGCTGGGTGCCGCGGCTGCATGCGTAATACTATTGTCTTTTGCAGCTGAACATCATAAATCGTATTGGAATGGCTGCATCCAGGCTGCGATAGTGATTTGTCAGCAGATTTTCTCAACTTTGGGCGCTAATAATTTTCCTTTCAAAAATGCTTTTAAAAAGTGCTTCAAAATCGTCTTTTTCTGCTTTGGCGTCGAGATCCGGTTTTGAAGCTGCAATTTCCGATACCGTTGCGCGTAGTTCTATTGTGTTTTGCAAGTCGGTCTCTGCAGATCTTATTGTAGTGGCTGCGTCAAGGTTGCTTGGTGCCGCAGCTGCATGCGTAATACCATTGTCTTTTGCAGCTGAAGATTGTAAATCGTATTGGAGTGGCTGCATCCAGGACGGGATAGTGATTTGTTAGCAGATTTTTTCAATTTTGGCGCTAGTAATTTGCGTTTTTCAAATTCCTTTCAAAAAGTGCTGCAAAATCGTCTTTTTGTCGCTTTGGCGTCGAGATCCGGTTTTGGAGCTGCAATTTCCGACGCCGTTGCGCGTAGTTCTATTGTGTTTTGCAACTCAGTCTCTGCAGATCGCATTGTAGTGGCTGCGTCAAGGTTGCTTGGTGCCGCAACTGCATGCGTAATACTATTGTCTTTTGCAGCTGGATCTCGTAAATCGTATTGGAGTGGCTGCATCAAGGCTGCGACAGTGATTTGTCAGCAGATTTTCAATTTTGGCGCTAGTAATTTGCGTTTTTCAAATTCCTTTTAAAAAAGTGCTTCAAAATTGTGGTTTTGTTGCTTTGGCGTCGAGATCCGGTCTTGGAGCTGCAATCCCTGTTGTGATAAACGCTTGCTGTGTGTAAGAGCTTTTATGTGTAAAAGCTTCTCTGTTTGTAAAAGCGTCTCAGTGTAAAAGTTTCTGTGTGTGTAAGCGGTTGCCATGTGTAAAACCACTGTGTGTAAGTGTCCTGTGTGTAAACGCTTGCTGTGTGTGAAAGCTTGCTGTGTGTAAAAGCTTCTCTGTGTAAAAGCTTGTTGTGTGTAAAAGCTTCTGTGTGTAAAAGCTTCTCTGTGTGTAAAAGCTTCTCTGTTTAAAAAGCTTGCTGTGTGTGTAAGCACTTGCCATGTGTAAAAGCGCTGTGTGTAAGTGTTCTGTGTGTAAACACTTGCTGTGTGTGAAAGCTTGCTGTGTGTAAAAGCTTCTCTGTGTAAAAGCGTGTTGTGTGTAAAAGCTTCTCTGTGTGTAAAAACTTCTCTGTTTAAAAAGCTTGCTGTGTGTGTAAACGCTTGCCATGTGTAAAAGCGCTGCGTGTAAGTGTTCTGTGTGTAAACACTTGCCATGTGTAAAAGCACTGTGTGTAAGTGTTCTCTGTGTAAACGCTTGCTGTGTGTGAAAGCTTGCTGTGTGTAAAAGCTTCTCTGTGTAAAAGCTTGTTGTGTGTAAAAGCTTCTCTGTGTGTAAAAGCTTCTCTGTGTGTAAAAGCTTCTCTGTTTAAAAAGCTTGCTGTGTGTGTAAGCACTTGCCATGTGTAAAAGCATTCTTTGCGCAAGCTTGCTTAAAAAGCAGTCGGAAATAATTTGTGCAAGCTTTGTAGTACAAAGTAGTACTGGGAAGAAGTTTTTGCAAGCTTTGTAGTAGAAAGTAATACTGGGAAGTACTTTTTGCAAGCTTTGTAGTGCACAGTAGTACTGGGAAGTAGTTTGTGCAAGCTTTGTACTACACAGTAGTACTGGGAAGTGCTTTGTGTTAGCTTTGTAGTACAAAGTAGTTCTGGGAAGTGGTTTGTGCAAGCTTTGTAGTACAAAGTAGTACTGGGAAGTGGTTTGTGCAAGCTTTGTAGTACAAAGTAGTACTGGGACGTGTTTTGTGCAAGCTTTGTAGTACAAAGTAGTACTGGAAAGTGTTTTGTGCAAGCTTTGTAGTACAAAGTAGTACTGGGACGTGCTTCGTGCATGCTTTGTAGTACAAAGTAGTACTGGGAAGTGGTTTGTGCAAGCTTCGTAGTACACAGTAGTTCTGGGAAGTGCTTTGGTCAAGCTTTGCTGTACAAAGTAGTACTGGGAAGTGTTTTGTGCAAGCTTCGTAGTACACAGTAGTACTGGAGCGTGTTGTGTGCAAGCTTTGTAGTACAAAGTAGTACTGGGAAGTAGTTTGTGCAAGCTTTGCAGTACACAGTAGTACTGGGAAGTGTTTTGTGCAAGCTTTGTAGTACACAGTAGTACTGGGAAGTGTTTTGTGCAAGTTGTGTAGTACAAAGTAGTACTGGGAAGTGGTTTGTGCAAACTTTGTAGTACAAAGTAATACTGGGAAGTGTTTTGTGCAAGCTTTGTAGTACAAAGTAGTACTGGGAAAGTGTTTGTGCAAGCTTTGTAGTACAAAGTAGTACTGGGAAGTGTTTTGTGCAAGCTTGGTAGTATAAAGTAGTACTGGGAAGTGCTTTGTGCAAGCTTTGTAGTACAAAGTAGTACTGGAACGTGTTTTGTGCAAGCTTTGAAGTACACAGTAGTATTGTGAAGTGCTTTGTGTTAGCTTTGTAGTACAAAGTAGTACTGGGAAAGTGTTTGTGCAAGCTTTGTAGTACAAAGTAGTACTGGGAAGTGTTTTGTGCAAGTTGTGTAGTACAAAGTAGTACTGGGAAGTGGTTTGTGCAAGCTTTGCAGTACAAAGTAGTACTGGGAAGTGTTTTGTGCAAGCTTTGTAGTACAAAGTAGTACTGGAACGTGTTTTGTGCAAGCTTTGTAGTACAAAGTAGTACTGGGAAGTAGTTTGTGCAAGCTTTGTAGTACAAAGTAATACTGGGAAGTCCTTCGTGCAACCTTTGTAGTACAAAGTAGTACTGGAACGTGTTTTGTGCAAGCTTTGAAGTACACAGTAGTATTGGGAAGTGCTTTGTGTTAGCTTTGTAGTACAAAGTAGTACTGGGAAAGTGTTTGTGCAAGCTTTGTAGTACAAAGTAGTACTGGGAAGTGTTTTGTGCAAGCTTTGTAGTACAAAGTAGTACTGGAACGTGTTTTGTGCAAGCTTGTAGTACAAAGTAGTACTGGGAAGTAGTTTCTGCAAGCTTTGTAGTACAAAGTAGTACTGGGAAGTCCTTCGTGCAACCTTTGTAGTACAAAGTAGTACTGGAACGTGTTTTGTGCAAGCTTTGAAGTACACAGTAGTATTGGGAAGTGCTTTGTGTTAGCTTTGTTGTACAAAGTAGTACTGGGAAAGTGTTTGTGCAAGCTTTGTAGTACAAAGTAATACTGGGAAGTGTTTTGTGCAAGCTTTGTAGTATAAAGTAGTACTGGGAAGTGCTTTGTGCAAGCTTTGTAGTACAAAGTAGTACTGGGAAGTGTTTTGTGCAAGCTTTGTAGTGCAAAGTGGTACTGGGAAGTGTTTTGTGCAAGCTTTGTAGTACAAAGTAGTACTGGAACGTGTTTTGTGCAAGCTTGTAGTACAAAGTAGTACTGGGAAGTGGTTTTTGCAAGCTTTTGTAGCAGACATCAGTACTGGGAAGTACTTGATATGAAAATAGCCAAGAAGAACTTAGCTGACATATGGGAAGACATGGAATGAGATGAGAAGAGCTCAGATGAGATGAGTTGAGATGAAGTGCAAGTGTGAAGTGTGGAGCGTGGGGTGTGAAGAGTGCAATGTGAAGTGTGAGGAAAGTGTTTGCATTGTACCGGGGTGGCGCGCAGGTCATGTTCTTGGACAGCAACACTGCAACAGCTTCGCGCAAAGCACGCACGCACGGGCCTATCTGGCGCACGGCGCATGCAAGTTCCTTAGTAGTAGTGCTGGGAAGTGATTCATGAAAGCTTAGATGACATATGAGAAGAGAGGAGATGAGAAGAGATGAGCTGGGATAAGGTGAGAAGAGCTCAGGTGAGATGAAGTGTGGAGTGTGAAGGGTGCAGTGTGAAGTGTGGGGCGTGAAGAGTGCAGTGTGAAGTGTGGAGTGTGAAGTGTGAAGTGTGGAGTGTGAAGTGTGAAGTGTGGAGTGTGAAGTGTGAAGTGTGGAGTGTGAAGTGTGAAGTGTGTGTGGAGTGTGAAGTGTGAAGTGTGGAGTGTGAAGTGTGAAGTGTGGAGTGTGCAGTGGGAATTGTGCAGTGTGAAGTGTGTAGTGTGGAGTGTGAAGTGTGGAGTGTGAAGCGTGAAGTGCGAAGTGGAGCTTCAAATGTGACATGTGAAACAGGACACCACTTTCGAAGAATGCATGCACGCACGGGCTTGGCTGGCGCACGGCGCATGCAAGTTCTATAGATGAGAAAGGGCTTATATATATCTTTAAGGCAACTTCCGCCCCGCCTCGTGCGGGCACTACTGGTATCATTTCACATCCCCACATAATCCCTCTTAAACAGACCCATTCCATGGTCCCAACGGTTTCATCACAGGTGAACCGCTGCACATGGCCTACCGTATGATACGACCCATAGGCCAGGGATGTTGACGGAGTTGACCTCGATGAAACTTCAAAACCCGTTTGACCATCTGAGATTCTAAATTTCTGATATTTTCTCCTTGCGTATTATGCTTGAACATGGTGGTCGTTTTGATCTTTTTGGTGGGTCCAGAGTTTTTACCCCTTACGAAAGTCACCAATTATGGTGGATGCTCCATATGTCTACGCAGCTTGAAAATTGCATACACTTGGACATTCCAAATATGACCCAAACGTCAAGGGGCAAGACATAGATCGAGTGTTTGGGAATTTTGAAAACCATAAATTGGTAAATTGGATGGTTTTCTTTTTGGCGCCTCAGATTTGATAACCTCGACGGCACTCTGATGATCTATAGAATTGAGTCCCAAAAGACTCATAGCACCCGACTTTTCTGAAATTGATGGGGAACTTTTGGTTTCCCATTGACTTCTCCGAGCCGTTGGTTCTCATTGCATTGAAACACAAAAAAAATGCAAATCCACTTGGCTCTCGTAGAAAATCGGAGGACTTCCATGCTTTCCACAAATTGGTGTCTATTCATGCTGGAGTTCCCCACAAATTTACCAATCCTCAGTTTCAGAAATCTCGAAACTTCTGGTTTCTTCCCCCCAAAATATGGGACGACCCTCTGCCTTCCCACCCCACTACGCCAAGTGAGGTCACGGAGCCTTTGGTTCGGTGTACGAAGCAAGGGATGTGAAATCCTTGCAGATGGTGGTGTGTAAGGTGGGGAAGCTTCTCTGCCCCGCAATACATTGTCAGAGGCTGGATCTATAAAAGTGTCATAAAGTGTCATAGTATCTACAGTAAGTCTATGTTCTATTGCAAGATGTGGGGAGCTTGTGAGAACTGATGGGCTGTTGGTTGGATTCTGATATATTCTGATGGATGACACTCATAAGCTCAGGATCCAAAGGTGATTCCCGCACGACAATGAGGTACTAGTATTGGGCTCCCACCCTCTCGGCTTTATTTTTTAGGAACAATGAACTTTTCATTGCACGGACCTGTGGGGTGATACTAAGAAGATATAAGATACCCCGTTGAAAGTCTACGGTTATCTGAATGGAGTGTACACAATACACAAAACTGAGAATCCTTTGCTGCACAAGGCACAGTACACTCTTTGGTCTTTGATGTCAAGTGGCCGCAGGGCGAAACAGTATGTGTATACATTTGCACATACACATACTACATACGTATACACACACATGTATATCTATATATATATATACACACTGCTTGCAAATATATATATATATATACATGTATAACTTACATAAGGGACCATCACCATCTCGGGGGGAGGGGGGGACCACCAGATGCTGGGCCACATATATGTATATATAATTATATATATATGTACATACACACACATATACCATATTATATCATATATCAATAGCTCATCTAGATGAACGCAGCACCCAGCATCTCCAAGCCCGAGTATGCTGACATGGCCAGTTCGTAGCTCTCTGAATTTCCCGCCAGGTGATTGCAAAAGCAACAGCACCCGATCACAATGCCATCCGCAATGCCTCCCGGGCAGAGTGTGGTTGGGCAGATGAAATAGGAGAAACCACAGAAAAGTGTGGATACAACCCATCAAAGGATTGGTTTAAGGGAAAATCTGCAGGAAACTATGGTATTCATATTGTATTCACCATCAAATCTTTTCGCTTCACTGGGAAGCCATTGAGACGATCATTTCTGAGTGGGAATGGACTCTAAGATGGAAATGGAGCCGGGAATGGCAATGCAGTGTATATTGATAGTTTTATGGTAGGTCGTAGTTCACCTTTCTGGATCAGTACAAAAGAATCTTAGATAGCAACAGGGTGTAGGGCAACTTACCAGTTTTTTGGTGCAGTTGAGCTACTCAGAGTACAATGTTCTAGTGGACAGCGATGGACAGCGTGGCATCATACATTACAGGCTTCAATGAATTCGGTAACGGGAAATCCACAGGACATGTCTTTTTCTTTGGTCTGCTGCCCCCAAACCATTGGGATTCCCTAACCATCAAGGCACCTTGGCGGCCCATCGAGTACTCGTACAGTAGATATGGGACCCCAAAATGGTGCACTGTACCCCTAAGATCGCCTAAGATCCAACAGTTCATCATTTTCCCTCTGAAAACTGGAACCATTTTCTGGCACCTTTCCGCCTATCACCGGAGCCAAACTTGGCTCGCACCCAGGAAATTGCCGTTTTAAAGGCGTTGGATCATCCGCATATCCTGCGTCCCTGGGCGCAGCAAAGAGAGCTGGGACCTGGTCCAGCACGACATGGTCGTGCAACTTACAAATAAATGATGTTCTATCCAGGAACAGTTCGGGTAAATGGCTTGATTCAGCTTGCTGTTGCTGTGTGTTCCTTGGGGCAATCCCCAGTTCGTTGCGATGAATCCTGCTGTTCGCTTTCAGCTACTCTGCATCAATGTCAAAGCCAGGAAAGGGTATGTCCCAAAACTGAATTGCCCAAGACTTATTCGAATCCAAAACTTACATACAGTAAACCTACTTGGGCGACATGTCAGCGGGCGCTTGCCCAGGTATTTTTGACCACTTTGAACATGGAGGCACAGCGAGAGCAATCGTGTGAGCATGCAAATGGGCATATCAAGAATTAAGGCATCTCACTTTCTACCACAACGAACCACAAATTCAAAACCCCACACAAAGTCTCCCAATGGTCTTCGTTGGCAATTTTGCACATTGTTCTCTGTCAATATGGGAGTCAATCATTCCCTGCGATTGCAGCATAGATGAGGCCCTTGAATGCTGCCACCTCTTGATCCGCAATCGTCCGATCTGCAACCAGTATGCTAGTGGTGTAGGTCCACATGACCCAGCCTTCTACGTCATTTGTCCGGAACCTCAGTCTCTGGATTTTCAGGCTCCACATGGTGAGGTCAAACTTGTTTGGACCCCTTGAGCCTACTTGTTTTCTTCCTCTTTTGTGCACTGTCAAGCTGCTCCACTGATTTTGTTCTTGGTACCAATGGCCGGGCATCACGGGCCTCCAGCATCCTGGATATCTCTGGCCACTGGGAATCCCACGAAAATTTGAGGAACCGTGACGAAAGCGAGCACCAAACATGGTGGAACCACATTTCCTGTCCTCTCAAAGGACCTTGAGCATTCTCCACCCTTTTTGTGGTCGGTTGTGAGAGAACCACAATCAGCTGCAGTATTTGTTTTTGATGGTCATTGAATCATTGTCCTTCAGGCACTACCCACATCCTGAATGCATCTGAACGCATCTGAATGCTTATCTGGGCGGGTACCCCCGATGGTACAATCCCAATCGATGGTCAGATCTCGAGGTGAAAATTTATCCGGCGGCGATCTGCAACAAGAAGTGAGCCGTTCCCGTCACGTGGCCACAGATTTAGCACACTTTCTGCCTGGGACAGGGACATCGAGGCTTCGTAGTGTTCTTGGCATAAGGTTTCTACGAGTTTCTATGAGTTTCTATGTTTCATGATGCCTTTCATGGCTGATTATGTTTCAGTATTCATCTACAGGTACTGCAATTCAATTGATGTTGATGATATATGGATAGATATATGGATATATATATATGGACCATATGGATATATATATATATATGTATAAACGATTATTTATGTAATGTAATGTAGTGTAATGTAGTGTCATGTAACGCAAGGTGGTACATGTACTGGAATGGAATGTGATGTCATGTTATGTAGATACTATAATGCAGTTAATGCAATGTAAAGCAATACAACAATGCGTAGTGCAGTATGATGTATATGATTTAATGCAGTGGAATGTAATGCGATGTGATGCAATAATACAAAGCCACGCAACGAATCAGAACCTGTGAGATACGCAATTCAGCCTACTGGGACACAGAGTGCTGTATTGAACTGCCCCGAATGCATTTGACGTTATATTTTGTACATTGACATGTCACACATGGACTTGCACAAGCACACAGACACACAACATCACGCAACAATGTATTCAGATATATACCCACATCAGCCCACATGTACTAGTGTGGGTCAAAACGTCAAAACCATTCTTAGAGCCTACTGTCAGTGGAAACTCATCTTCCACATGTGAAAATCCGCTGAGGCAGTGGCCTTCCTGTAGCGCAGGCGAACCGCGAACTATGACTGGGGGTCAGTTTCCATCATCGTAATGGGAGTATACCCAACAATAAACTTCAATTGGGGATGGTTTATTATTGGCTTCACCACAACACATGATAATTATATATATATACACATAAATCGTGGAGTTTGCCATGATATAAGATATATGATTATATATATATATATCATGGAGTTCGCCATGATATATGATATATGTCCTGTTTTTTTTTTTTTGTATGTGTATATATATATATAGTGTTGTTGCGGTGGGAAACTTAGAATGACCAAACAAAAGTGTTCGTTTGAACAACAATTTCCCAGCTGCAGCTTGGATTTTTGAATAAAACACCGCGCATGTGCAGCAAAACCTAACTTAGAATTGCCCCTTGTGGCATACTCCGAGCATACTCATGCAATACGGTAGAAAAGCCTCGTATATACCATTATTTACCAGCAACTATCATGGAAATCCTAGACATAGAATGACCCACAATTGCAACATAATAAAATGAAATGCCTTGAAAACAGATCAAAGCAAGAAAACAGCAATAAACACAGGAAAATACATAAAACACAAAAGGACACAAAGAAACGATTCATCATACAAAAACAACGAGTGAAAGGAAAATAAAGAACACTGACAGAAAACGGAGGAAAAAACCCTCTTAACATGAATGGCACATGAAATGAAAACAACTATACGATATGTATATATATATATACACATGCATTCTACATACCAAAAGGGCATTCTAAGCTTGGCACGAAAAATTGGAAACACCTTGAACAAAAAGGATTAATGCAGACAATGAACAGGAACCAATGAGCAGTAAGTCAAGTAAATTGAATGATTACTTTTTTCTCTGATGGTAATTTTGGCGTTTTTCATGTCTGTTGTTCATTCATGTGTTTTCAGAGTTCATAGTTTGTGGGGGTTAAACTTAGAATGCCCTTTTGGCTTGTTGAAAAATGCATACTTTCCCCAGAGATTACCGCATGGCATGGAAACCATCCAACAATGCTCGTCCATTCCCTTACAATACAGAACCATTATTGGTTGCCTTTTTTTAGAACCTGTGCCACGAACATTCAAGGAAAATGAAAGGAAGAGAACGGATCATGGCATGCAAAATGAGAAAGACACGAAGGAGAATGACAGGAGCAGAGGCATTTTCCGTTGGTTTTCCCTGCATTTTGAAGTAGTGTAAGTACGAATACGTACGATATTTTGATGTTTGTGTACTGGGACATTTTACATTTGTATGGGGGCATTCTAACTGGAGGGCATTCTAATCTATGTTGTACCGAATTATTATTCTTTACATTTTTCTACCCATTCAAAGTTTCAGGCCGGCCCTATATTTATATACACATTAAATATATATATATATATAAAAATACAACTATATGTGTATATATATATAGGTCTATATACACATATACAGTAATATATACACATAATATATATATATACATATATATGTATGTATGTATATATATATATATATATGTATAGTATATGTGTATATATATGTACATATCTATACGTAAAATATACACATATATATATTTACATATGATATACAAAGATCTCTCTATACACACACGATACATATGTAAATACATGTGCATATATAGATGCATATATATATATGCATATATATGTATGCATATATTTACGCATCTATATACACATGTATATATATATATATATTTATATCCATATATATATGTATATGCATATATCTATATATATATATGTATAGACATATATATATATATACATGTATGTATATATATATGTATATGCATATATATATATATGCATATATGTATATATGGATATATTTACATATATGGATATATGTATATATGGATATATATATATATTTACGTATGTATATAGGTATACGTATGTATATAGGTATACATGTATAAAGGTAGTTATGTATATATGTATCTATGTATCTATGTATCTATGTATCTATGTATCTATGTATATATGTATATATGTATATATGTATATATGTATATATGTATATATGTATATATGTATATATGTATATATGTATATTATATTGTGATTGACCACACTGGCAACGGATGTCCTCCACCAAACCGCTAAGCAGCTTCAGGCTGTTTTCCTTCCAGGCCACAAGTCGGGTCACGGCACTGCTCGGAGAGGCACTCCGAAGGCTGCAAGAGTTATCCACTTAAGGATTGGCAGGATGCAAATGCACCTATGAAAGTAGCGGACCCCTGGTCCTAGCAGTTGTGCGGCCACGCACGATGCCTATGGCTAAAGACACACGAATGCAATGAACCCTCCCTCACCTTACCCTATGGGCACTCCTGAGCCATGCATGTGCTATGGTTGTGAGCTCTGGTTGTTTACCCCTTGATTGGATTGTATGACAAGAAGTGCAATGATATTGAACATTCACACTCCCAAAAAGTCAAAACTTTCAAGAAAACAAGCATCATTGCACGGACCAGAGGCATGGTCAGAGGAATCTCCTTTCAACCATCGCAGCCGATTTCGAGCAGTTGCTCGATTTTTCAAGACCTCAAGCTCGTCGTGTCATTTGTAGTGTCCCCATTTCAGAGTCTCTCTAAGGAAATTCGTTTCCATTATTTTCGTCAACGCATCTGCAAGTTGTGCACCTGAATGGACCCACCTTAGTGACACTCCCTCGGCAATGAGATCTTTGATGGCACGCGCAGTTAATTGGGTTCTGAACTCTGCACAGCTTGGTGTGGCTGTCTTGGTGATGAGATCGAACAGGCTTTTGCAATCAGTTGCCGCAAAACTTTCGGGAAGTTGTTGAGCTTTGAGAGTTGCAGTGGTGTATGTTTCAGGTAAGTCTTTGAAGGCTTGTTTCGGATTCTTCCATGGCACTTTGGGGTCCAACATCCACGCCCAGCACAAACGGATCCATGACAATTGATCCAGCACGGTCCCCAGTGATGTCGTCTCAGCTGCAAGTGTACTCGTGACAACCCTTTGAATCTTTTTACTTCCCCAAGAAATGGGACCCACGGGACATGTAGTATTGTGACCAATGTCTTTATGGGTCGCCATTATAAGGGTACCTGTTTGGGAATTGGGGTTTCCTTTTGAAGCAAAGGATGCGTCTGAGAATGCAAGAAACCTTACATCAGGAATGGGGATACTTTGTATTTTGATAGTGACATCATGGTGTTTCTTGGCCTCATGCAGGGTTTGATTGGCTTTGATAAGTGTTTCAACGGTGGCACTGTTTATGGATGATTGCAAGTAACTGAGTCTGCTGGATAAGTCAGGACGTGTGTGTACGGATGCATACTGGAGGCTGCCGATCAACGCACGGAGGTGCTGTCTTTCTTCTTCAGTGATTTTCTCTTCTAGTTGTTTTCTGCGGTCAAGTGAAATTTTAATTGGGTCAATTGCGGTTACATACTTGGATTGAGATAAATGGATGTTACCATTGGTAGT